AGAGTAAATTTTAAAAACCGAACCGAAACCGATTAACCGAACTAACCGAAAATTTCGGCTCGATTAACCGATTAACCGAAATATATAAATATGAAAAATGATTTTAAATTAAAAATAATAATAAAACACAATTACAACTATTAATTAATAAATATTTTATGATTCAATGTGATTTATTATAATAATATTTGTTATAACCATATTTATTGAATATAAATATATTAAAAAAGTTCACATATACCTACATATATATTTAATATAATAATATTTATTAAATATAAATATATGATATATTTATTTCGGTTATTCGGTTATAACCGAATTTTTTTTCTACTAACCGAACCGAACACCGAAACCGAATTATTTAAAAAATAAAAACCGAATATATAACTGAAAACCGAAATAACCGAACCGAAAAACCGAAATTGAATTCGGTTCGGTTCGGTTTTCGGTTACGGTTCGGTTTTGCTCACCCCTAAATGGAACTATGTAAAACAAAGGATAGGATCCAAAATCAAGCAAAAGGGAATAAACAAGCAATAGTGACAAACTGATAGCGCATTTATGAAGGGTTGTTTATTTTTCAATAGGAGGAGAAAACTACATATGTTAACAATTCTATGTTGGAAGTAAGAACATTGACCCCAAGAGTATCCCTATTTATAGAGTTAGTTTGTACAATCAAATCATGCATTGAGGGACTTTACAACAAATTGAAGGCAAAAAATTATATTGTCCATCTAGGTCTCAGCCCTGATACCATAGATGGAAATTGATATACTTACTGTTGATTTTAGTTCAGCTTTCTACAAAAGCCAACCTGATTTACTAACTAAACCTTCGAACGAACAGAATAGTAAGCTGTACCCATAGTGCCATATGAGTCTTCCAGACCAGAAAACAAAAGAGTAAGAAATTTGTTTCAATACAGATTTAGTAACATAAGTTAATGAGTATTAATCCTAAACTCCATAGTATTAAAAAAATTTTCTAGCTATCGGCTTAGCTGCAAACTAGATGGTTTATAATGTTGCAAGATTACTAGAAGGGGAAAAGGAACATTTTCCTGTACTAGAAATTTATGATTTACATAGTAAAACTAAAAAGAAAAACCTTAATTACTCCTGTACTTGATTTCAACAGCGATTCATTAAAAAAGTCAAGGTACACTGCAAAGCCTGGCAGCAGTAATATTCCAAAAACTGTCTAATAATTATTCCGAATCTTCGACTTCCTCTGGTTTCACAAAAAATTCAATATAAGCTATACGGCCTGGCTGCTGGTAACCCACAGAATCTACATATGCATGTGAGGAAGGCAATTTGCCAATCGAAACCAGATGCTGAACTTTCAAAAGTCCACCTCTCCCAACGGTTAGCTTGCTTCCTCTGTTTTCCTTGATAACACTGCTTGGTATGTTTGTTGTTGTCGCTCTGAGGAACTTGTATTTGTACCTGCTGACATGAATTCAAAGAAATGTCTTGATATTATGACGGTAGGGAAAACATGCTTTACTTCAAGTAATGATGCAAAACTTTACTTGTAAGAAACCCGGTGATCACACTGAAATGCTGCCAAGAGATCAGTATTTGCATAATACATAAGGTCTATCTGCGAGAATGAGAAAAACTGTCACTATAAGATTGATCCAGAGCGACAAGAGCTCATTCATTAGTTCAAGACAACACAAACCTGCAAGTCTCCATGGCCTTCACCTTTCAAGGTTACAGAAGGGGGAACTGGCTGTAGAATGATCTGGATGCTTGATCCAGGCCATTCTAGATCCTCAATAGCTTCCTTCAGTGCTGCAGACTAGATTTTGATATCATAATTGGAATATAAGTTGCAGTGCATTCTCCAAAATAAACTAAACAAGATGGTTTTTCTTTCAAAAAGCATGAATAGATCCATAAATTCCAAAACAGTACAAAAAATACAACTCGCATCATTTAGTGCACCCAAGAATTTTAATAATGAGCACCATTAAGGTTGGTAAGCGGCCTATTCCATAACTCAAAAGTAATTTATTAGCATGTACAAGTGCAGAGTAGCTTATTATAGAGTTAAATATTAAAAACCTTATTGTCAATCTCATAAAGCAAATACAAGATTTGGAAACTTGAGGGAACAAGGTGTACATATAAAGCAGCATTTGTGGTGGCAAGACCTGAAATGTTAAGCAGCATCTAACTGGGACATAGTGATATGAGAACTTTGCAGCATACCTTAACAGTAAACGTTAGAGGATTTGTTCCAGCCGGTTCAAAGTTGTAGTCCCATGGCATTGTGTCAGGAATCCTTGTCCTGATCTCTGCATAAATGCTAGCAACCTCCGAATCAACTTTCCTAAAATAGTGAAGAAGGTAAATTTCATTCATGGATCAGGCCGTTCCACAAAATGTGTAGTTTTACACCTGTAGCACTGTAAGAAACTAAAAGTAACCAAGTATTGTGTTCAATAAAAATCCATGAAACTTGCCAGCATGCCAGTTAGACTAAAAAGAATGACAGAATCCATCAGAAGTTCTCACTTGATAAAGTATTATTTATTTCTTCCCGGGGACAGCTTTACTTTGCAGAATGATAAACGTTAATTCACGCATCAGATTAAAGAAATGCGTCCATCGAACTGTAATTAGCACTCAGTAACCAGTGAATTTTCAGGTCTTATCAGCCCTTGCCATTGTCAGGCACTAAAAATGAAAATGTCTATTAATAAATAATTTGCCAAGGAAAGACGAATCTGTCAGCATTGCATGTCCCCGAATCAGTGAAACACGAATTATCAACGAAGGCCATATACTTACTTCAGAAGAACCTGCATGTCAGGACCAGGGTACTGAATTTCAATCATGCTTGACTGACCAGGAACCGAGAATGCGTTTAAACAATCCACTAGAAGGCCCAAGCTTACTCCAAAACGAGGCCGTCCCTGTGCGTTGTAATCATAACGAGCGAATAGCTACAAGTACACACATTCAAACTCAAATCTAGGCATTACTGCATGAGCAAAAAGGGCAAAATACTGAATGCCACTCGAATTTAACTTGAATGTTGCGACCAGAACTCCCCAGAGAAATTAAGAAGACCGTCGCAATACGTAATTATGATGATATACCAGTAAGAATGCAAATATTACAAGCAAAATGGGTACCTCGCGTTTGAGATAAACCTTGGCCTGAAGACAACCGCTTTCTTCCACAATCAAAACGATGCCGTGCTCAGACAACTCTACCACCGCGTCCTAGATGCGACGACAGCGATAAGCTAATTGATTCACATAGAGATCGATATAGTTGTGATAGTTCGGGGACGCAATTCCAAGTGGAAAATGAGGATGTAAGCGAGAATAAACTACCTGGTGGCGTTTCCAACGAACGGCGCTGAGAGCATCGACCAAGCCTTGAACGTGTTCAAGTTGGCAAACCAGGTCAGGGGCCTCATCCTCCATAGCCGACGAGCTCATTCTTCCTTCCCTTTTCCCTCCCGCCAAATGCCCCAGAGAGGCCAAGCGGGAATTCTCAGCGGATGGCAAAAACGGGGAATCCAGACATATATGTTAATACTCCTTGACTCACTTTGAAGCGTTGCGAAATGAGTCTTGAGGAATACTAAATGACAATAATAATAAATGTTTAATTATTGATTTTCTTATAACATGTAAAAAGTCCCAATAAACATGTGAAGTTCAGAGCATAGGAGGTCTGTGACAAGACAATGAAAGCAGTTTTACGGTCAATAAGTTATTTATATTTTTGAATTACAAATAAAAATAACAATTACAATATAATAAATAACAAATAGATTGAATATAAACTTTAGTCTTTTAAATTTTTTTTATTTTGATTTTAATCCCTTAAATTTTAAATTATAAATTTTAATTTTTTAATTTTTTTAAATATTAGTTCTTATAATTTAATAAAAACTTAAAAATCATTTTATCTATTGCCGGACTTAAAATCAAAATAAGAATAAATTCAAGAGATAAAAAAATTATATTAATCCTAACAAATATATGTTATATGTATAAACATTTTTCAACCGTGCAATCAAACGTGGGCAGATTGTTCTCTTCTTGCGCAGTGACATGGTTAGCTCTTATATAAATGAATTTATACAGCTACTCTAATCTATGTATTTGCCATCCAATTCACCAATTATATGACAATAGACGAGTTTTTTTATTATAACTTGGTTAATTCTTTCTTAGCATTATGTTTGTTTTTAACCAGAACTTTCTTAGCATTGTTAATTTCTTATCCTCTTTGTATATTGCATAAAGCAACATAAATGTGTTCCTCTGTTAACAACTAACAACTATTGAATAATGTCTCATATTTTGAGTAGAAGATCAATAGATTATTGAATAAATGTCTCATGTTACTTTTTCCAAACCTAAATATAGAAGCTTTTTTAAATATGAGACTTCAATATCTTTATTTTTCAAGTTTATAAAACTTTTATTATATCATTTTTATTGATTGCGCGTGTGAAAATAATTTTTTATTAATGTTCTAAGAGATCAATATATATTTATCTTTTGAGTAAAAGATCAATATCTATTTGTTATAAATAATCAAGTTCACTAATTTTCTATAAAAATATTTAAATTAAGTTTCTTATATTTATTATATTAAGTTTTTCATGTCTTGTTTTTAAAATATATTATTAAACTATACATTTATATAAAAAAATAAGAGGCCTATGCTGCTGTGCATGTGTGATAGAAGAACTTTACGAACTGTTATCAGATTGATTACTAAAATAACTATATGTGTTAAAATCGTTGGCAAAAGAATGGCAAAAAAAATAAAAAATAAAATCGTTGTCAAAAGAAAAATATCTCTTAAAATGGATATTAATGATCTTAAAATCTGGAGTATAACCAATGTCTAACAAGTCAACGCAATATTTCCAATCTAAATTCATAATTCTCAAAAAGTAATCCATCCCCTTTGGCCCCAAAAAGAGGGAAGGCAAAAAAAGCAAAAAAAAAAAAAAAATCCATCGTCTTCTTCTCAGTCCCTCAATGGGTAAAACCCAGGTCGCATCCTCCGTTCGTCGTCTCTTAAAACACACAATCTTCTTTATCCTGTCCTTTTGAACCCCATTTTCTTTATAAAGTCTTGAACTTCGTCGATCTATCTCTCTCTGTCACTTCACTTTTTCCTTTCCTTTCCAAGTCCAACACTTCTCTGGACTATGCCTGCCTCCAACTAGGGTTTAAGTTTCATACAAATGGCCGGCATTGCGTCCCCTTTAAAACGATAGATTCTAGATAATCATATTTTTTAAAAAGATTTCTTTTTTTATATTTTAAATTCTTGTGTGTTGGTAAATCGACTCTTGACATGGACGGAGCAAATAACAGCGGCTCCGGTGGCGGCACGCAGACGCCGGCTCCTGCTCCCATTCCCAATACCAACGCGCCTCCGCCGTTTCTTAGTAAGACATATGACATGGTGGATGACCCGTCCAGTGATGCGATCGTTTCTTGGAGCTCAACCAACAATAGCTTTATTGTTTGGAACCCTCCTGAGTTTGCCCGGGACCTTTTGCCTAAGTACTTCAAGCACAATAACTTCTCCAGCTTTGTTAGGCAGTTGAATACATATGTATGCCTTCCTTTCTCTTTAGCTCTCATTTTGATTTTCATGTTGTTGCTGGTATCTATTAGTGATTGGACAACGTCAGTTTTCCCCCCTATAGCAGTGTTATTTTTGGCGCTAATAACCTTACGGATTTTATAATTGGTCATGAGAATGATGGGGTTGAAATTTAACATCGAATGTTTATTTAATTTGAATGTTTTGGATTGATGCGGTGAATTATGATTTATAGTTGCGTTATCTGAGATTAGTGTGGCTCTTTGTTGATGAGCGAGAAGGACTGACCCTTTTCTTCTCCTCCTTTGTTTTTGCGCGTGACCCGAATCCCATTGTCTCTTTTATCTCCCTGATTCGTATCCAGATAATGTAGCTAGTTTCCTGAGGCCCTCATCCAATAGATCATGTAGTTGCTTTGGACTTCAGCTACGTCTGAAAGCTGGGACTGGATGTATTACTTTGTTTATATCTACGAAATAGCCTGTGAAATTTCAATTTGATATTATTCCCCCTGCATTTTCTCAGCATCTAGATCGATCAGAAGAGGGAAATTTCACAAAGAAAGCAATTCTCAGGTTTATCAGTTACTTAATTGCAAGTTTATTCCTGTATCATATTTAAAAGGATGCTGCACATACTATATAAATGAAGTGGTGAGACATTTCCAAATTCAAAATGCTTGAAGAGTTTTGGGATCTCTAGAGATTCGCTAAAGAGTTGCTATTATGTCCAGCGTGAATTTACCGATATGTTTTTGTACCATGATATTGGCCCTCTACCATGACCTATTTCTTTGCAAAGAGTTATGTAATTGAATGGTGAAGTTAGACATCAACACGACCCGTGAGCTATTGATTTTAGTTCTGCTGTTGCTAGGATGAAATGAGGGTTATATAAGCTTTTTAATATGGAGATTTATTTATGTCAACTTGCTTTTCTAGCTGGTGGAGGCTCAAGGCCTAGGATTCGTAAAAAACTATGTAGCTGCTGCCAATCATTACATGGAGGTAGATGATTGTTTACGGTTCACATCCAACAATCTTGTGGAACAGATAAACTCCCATAGTGGCATAGGAATCATTCTCTTTGTGGCGTAAAGATATTCTGTTCTCTACGATAATTGTGGGCTTATAAGGCCAGGCCCAAATATGGCAAATTTTATGGCTGAACGGATAAGAAGAAAGGGTCCACCAATGATGGTGAAGTGTTCTTTGTAGGATTACGTTGTGAACAACTAGGAAACACTAATGAATGGTTTTTGAGTCTTAAGATCATTAGCCCAAAAGTGGAAATTACAGTCTGGTTTGGAAGAATCTGGAAATGACAGGGGATGAGGAGAGTAAGACCTTTAGTAACTAGGTCACCATCCCTATTATCTCTATTGCCAGTGGCAATGGCAGTAGTAGCAACAAGAAGAGATTGTCCTAGGTTGAGACTGACAGAAGGCGAGGGCGTAGACTTTGTTTTAAATCCAAGAAAAATCTGGGCCGATCAGTAGTGTATAAACAAGCAAATTAAGATACTAATCTCAAATGAAGAGGAAGGAACATAGGACATGGGGACTAGGGAAATAGAAGAACAGATTATAGAGAAATCTCGGAAAATATTGGCCTATGTGGAGCTATCCTTGAATTCAATCACTGGACTAGTAGGTCGCAAAATAATGAAGTTATAGAAGTTTGATGGACCCATAGCAATTGGACCAAGAGCGTTCAAGGCTTATGAAAGAAAGGATAGCACAAGAGTAACAAGAGGACCAAGTTGAGTTTAACTGCTGATGAGGAGGCTAGAGAGAAAGAATAAGGATTAAAGGTTGTTGTAACCAACCAATCATGCTTGGAATGTTGTGTAGGTGATTAGACAACCACTGAATTTCTATATCTGTGTTTTTTTTGGAGCTGGTAACCATTCGAAGTTAGAATTGCTGATGGGAATGGTGGAAAGGTTGTTTATTTAGTTTGACTTTGAATGTTACAGGTTGATCTGGTGCATGTGACTTGTAATTTTATACGTTAGTTGAGGTGAGTTTGGCTGTAATATCAAGGAGTGAGGAGGAGTGGCTCTATTTTCTCTGTTCGTTTTTGGGTATTGCCTGAATCACTGTTTCCCTGTTATCATCTTGGATCGTTTCCAGATAAAGTATATAGTAGCATCAAGCTCGTAGTTGCTTTACACTTGAACTAAGTCAGAGCTGGGACAGGATGTCTTATTTTTATGTCTATGCATCAAATAGCATGTGAGATTTCAATTTGATATCTATTCCTCTTGCCTTTTCTCATCAAGTCAAGAGGTTGGAAGAGGAAATTTGACCAAGAAAGCTGTTTATCAATTATTTAATTGCATTCATTCCTGTGTTATATTTATATAAATGGCCATTGGACATGTTATATGCGCGACTACAAAGGAGACATATTTCAAATTCAAATTGTTTTAAGAAGGTTTTAGAGTCTCGAGCAAGGATTCTCTGGTAAACTGCTTTGTTGCCCGGCTTGTCAACTTTTTGGACAATGATATTGGTTTTGTGTTGCTGCAGAATTCAAAGCTTAAATTAATCATGTGACACAATAACTTTTGATTGTAGTTTTCCTGTTACTAGGATTAGATTAGATGAGTAAGGCTCTGTTTGAATAGCACCCCAAACCATGGTTTGGGGACCCAAACCATGGTTTGGGGAAAATGCTACCCAAACAGCCTCTCCAAAAACCAAAACCATGGTTTTGGGTCAAAACCATGGTTTTGGAAAAAGCAAAATTTTTTTGCTTTTGGAGAAAAAAGGGAGAGTGTGAGGGCCTATATGATATGTATCTTGTTATTTTTTTTATAAACATATTTTTTTATAAATATATTTAATCTTATATTTTATAAATATATATAGACATTAATTATTTATTAATTATATTATCTTATGTATTATTAATTATGTTGGTAAAAAACATATTATTAACAATTTTATTTCTTCAAATTAAAATATATCATAAAATCTATTTTTTCTGTAATTATCATATTAACTTATGTCTTTTTTTTAGTAATTTGTATATATAAAAAGTGCTTCTGATAACAACTATCCAAACACTCTCACTTCTCAGAATCACTTTTTTACAAAATCTATTCTTCACAGAATCTATTTTTTCCAGAATCTATTCTCCAGAATCACTTTTCCAAACCACGGTTTGGTTTCATCCAAACACACCCTTAATCATGTAAGTTTGATGCTTTGAATAAGAAGATTAATTTAACTTGCTTTTCCAGCTAATGGAGACACAAAGCTTAGGGTTTGTAGAAAATGGCATAGCAGCTCTGTCAATCGCTGCATGGAGGAAGATTGTTTCCATTTTAGCAGTCTTGTGGAATAGATCACCTGCCTTAGTGGAACAGAACTGCATTCTTTAGCATGAAGACATCCTATTCCGAAGGTTAACCTAATACTTGGAACTAGAGGAATTAATGGGATGATGTATTTTGGCAATCGTGTCTTCATGCTGAATTAACCATAACTATATTATTTAAACGCAGGATTTAAGGGTTGCATTTACTGCTGTATTTTAGGAATCAAGCCTAGCCATTTGCAAGCTTGCTTTATCAGCAATTCAGCCCTGTTTATTAGTTTACTTTCTTCTTCTTCTTCTTCTTCTTCTTCTTCTTCTTTTGGGGATATTTTTGTGATTTGTAGACATGCATAATCTTTAGGTTCCCTCCGCATAAGCTATATTTAATTTAATCTGTTGTGGATTAGATATGAGTAGAAGGCTTGAAGAGGCTTAGCTTATGACAACTGAGTTTCATCACTTGGTAGTGAAGAAATGAGTTTCACCTTAAATAAGTTTAGAATGAACAGTAAGTTCTGTCTCTGAGTCTCTCCCAAATGGTTATGACTCTTTTATTTATATATCTGTTTGCACGAAGAGCAGTTTTCACTTTTCAGTTAGGTTGTAAATTGTAATACTGGTCTGGATCCTTTATGTGGGGTTGATGTTGTTGATCTGCAATCTGCTTGGCCATGAGACTTGTTGATGATAATCAGAAACATAGACTTTTCAAGATTTTCATTTTGAAAATTAGATCCAAAATATAATGTGCGCATGCCATTACCTACAAAACTGAAGGATGGGAGTCATTTGGACTGGTAAAGCAGAAGCATCTCAAATTCTGCTTGAACCTGCATGAGTGTTTGCCCATGCTGGTTTGTGATTTAGGCTTCATATTATTACTAATGATTAAACTGATGGACGTTTTCTGAAACATTGAATAGCATGATGGGCCTTTTGGCTTCTGTTTTATTCTGAAACATTAAATTCTCCCTCTTGTGGAGCAGGTCCAAATTGCCAGATTTGAGTTAGACGAACACATTTATTTTGATGGCTAGACTCTCATGTATCCTTTAGATACATCATTGCACCATATCCATGTGTGCTCTTTTTTTATTTTCTTTTTTTCCTCATTCTGTTGGGAACCAGGTATTAACCTGGGGATTCAGCGTTTTAAGCTTGGGAACCAGGCGTTTAAGTTTGCAAAATGGCTGTACAAATATTATGATTTACTAAACAAACCCCCAGTAATGGAACTTTACTCAATAGAACTCCAAGAACAAGGATTTAGGTCTAAGCATAATAGTAGCAATGAATGCAAAAAGACACGCACGCACACTGACACTCGCACACCAGAAAAACGCATCGTCTAATTTAAGAGGCTAGAGTCTCTCCTACATCTGACTCTAATTCTTCCTCTCTTTGCCGATTATGTCCCTTGTGATAATTTGTTATTGTGCCCATTTCCCTCTAGAATCCTCTAGCCACTACAGTGGTGGATAATGCAGCCTCTGCCGTTGTACTATCTTTTGTCTTCATTCTCTTGCTATGGCCCTTTAGCATCATAGGTCTGAAAGTTATGGATCCATCACATTCTATCTGTCAGCTTGTAATTTAAGTATGCGTCTACTATCATGTTTGTACATGCTGACTGAAAAGTTTTGCTTTTTAACTGAACATATGATTTACCTCCTTCCTATCTCTTTTCCTATTGTCAACATAATTAAACAGGGTTTCAGGAAGGTCGATCCAGATCGGTGGGAATTTGCTAATGAGGGCTTTTTGAGGGGTCAGAAGCACTTGCTTAAGAGTATAACCCGGCGGAAACCTGCCCATGGTCATAGTCCGCAACAGGCACAACAATCTCATGGGCAGAGTTCATCTGTAGGGCCATGTGTAGAGGTTGGGAAGTTTGGTCTAGAGGAAGAGGTTGAAAGGCTCAAAAGAGATAAGAATGTGCTCATGCAGGAGCTTGTGAGGTTGAGACAACAGCAACAGGCCACTGATAACCAGATGCAACAGATGGTTCAGCGCCTTCAGGGCATGGAACAACGTCAGCAGCAAATGATGTCATTCCTTGCAAAGGCTGTCCAGAGCCCTGGCTTCTTGACACAGTTTGTACAACAGCAAAATGAGAGCAATAGACGCATAACTGAAGCCAACAAAAAACGACGCCTTAAGCAGGAGGGTATTCCTGAAACAGAGTGTGCTACTGCTTCTGATGGACAAATTGTTAAGTACCAACCTTTGATGAATGAAGCTGCTAAAGCAATGTTGAGGCAGATCATGAAATTGGATACCCCTTGGCTAGAATCTTTCAATAATAACTCAGACAATTACTTGATCGGCGATGGCTCAACATCATCAGGGGCAATGGACAGTGGGAGCACTTCAAATCGGAGTTGTGGAGTAACCCTTCAAGAGGTCCCCCCAACTTCAGTGAATGCTCCCTCAGCTGGCAAGTCTGAAAAACAGTCTTCTCCACAGTATGGGGCTTCTGAAAAAGTTACGACTGCTCAATACCCCGATGTAAATGTGCTCATTGGTGCATCTGAGAAACTTTCTGTCCCTGTTTCTGAGGTAGATGTCATGCCTGAGCTTTCTTCAATACCAGAGATGGCGACAGGAAGTATTCTTGATATTCCTGAAGAGAATTATATGGGACCTGAAACAGGAGATGAGGGATTCATGGATCCTAACTTACTGGGGGTAAATGGGTCGATGCCCATTGATATTGGTAGTATTTCGCCTGATACTGACATTGATGACTTGTTACGCAACTCTTCTTTTTGGGATGACTTCGTGCAAAGTCCATTGCCGGGGGAGATTGAGATTGATGCTGCTGATGTGTTAAAGGGAAATGAGGCGCAGGCAGTCGAAAATGGATGGGACAAAGCGGAAAATATGGATCAACTTACAGAGCAGATGGGGCTTCTTTCTTCTGACGCAAAAAAAGTTTGATTGGCCCTCTACAAAATGTAGAATTATGTCATTTTTTCAAGGTATCCCCGGGCTCAAACAGCACGGAACTGATGTCTAATATATAAAATTCAAAAGCAAGGGAAAAGATGTCTAAAATATAACCGCATCGGCAGTTGCTCATTGGAAAAGTAGCTGATGATTTGTGTTTGGTCTTTTTGGGTCAAGTTTGTGCATATGAGACCCTAGTCTAAATTTCTTGTTTACATTTACGTATATCTTTTGATTTCATGTTGAATCTAAAATTATGATGTCATGGTCACATCAGCTGCTGTAAGTTCGGCCTTTGATTTTTTTGTACCAACTCATTTGTCGTCCTGGTACAGACAGCCAGTTTTTCCCCCATAAATGGAACCGCCCCTGAAATTTCTCTCCGGAATTCTGTCTCTCTGCCATCCCCTAGCCGTTACTCTTGGGCCGCCTTGTTTTGTCACGCCTCTTTATTCATGCTCAGGAAAGTCTTCAGGATTTCAAGAACTAGATATGTTTGATGGTGGGTCGAGGTTCTCAGTATTGTGGTATTTGAAAAGCAATCGACTATTTCCTTTGAAAAAGAAAAAGACCTTTTGCAAACAAAGGGCCGTGTTTGTAGACAAGCTGGCCGTGCCTCCAACTCGTGATTATTAGCAGCTCTACGGACCATAAATGTTTCTACTACTTCCTGTCTTAATGATAAAATATTATTTGTAGGCTCCAAATAAGATTTTATAATTAAAACCGAAGATCAAACTTTTGAATCATCCCTCTTAACATATCTTTTTCTTTGTTTGTTAGACTCTCAAAGGTGATTTATAATGTGGATCAAAGGAGTCACGAGAAAGTGCATTTGAGGCATTATTTTATTTTTTGTTGGCCAGAATGTTTTTTTTCTTATATTTACTTCATTACCATTTTGTGGAGGCATGGGCAATATATAACTACATGAAGCAACATTTCAAATGCCATTAATATGATTTTAGATTTTTTTTTAAAAAAAAGGAATTTAGATTGCCCCCATCAAATCAATTTTCAAAATGATATTGATTGATAATTCAATTTTTAAATATCTGACTTAATCACTATAATTGTGGTTGATATCACATATCATTTGCCAACTGATTTTTACATAGAAAACCCACTCATATCAAATATTTATAAATAAAAAAAATTCACATAAATCATATTAAAAATTCTATTGATTTCACATGGCTCTTATTATCAAATTTTTAAGGGAAAAGCCATGTGTCATTACAGAGAGACTTGTGTCGCGTTTGGAGTTAAACTTTGAGCCCTACTTATATATATATATATATATATATATACACACACATATATATAAGACGTTGCAGTTTGCTTAGTTTTAGTTTGTTAAGCACTGCTACCTTTTATACGTGGTTTTTCCTTTCATTTCGGATTGCGATCCGAATAATTTGATGAAGGGATTTTCTCTAATTGTGGATGTTGCTATTGTATGCTTAACAATTTTCTGTGCAAATCCCCATCAAGTCGCTATCAATCTTGATATGATAAATTATCCCTAAGGATCCTCACACAGAAAAAAAAATCTTAAAAAATTATAATTTTCTTAAAATTTTATAATAAATCTTAGCATTTATAGATAACTATAACTGTCAAGAATATTTACAATAATTTTTGTTAAAATAAACCATTTGATGCCATTTCACCCTTGATGCCCGATGTTGTCGCAAATCTACAATTGCCAGTATTCTATATGCACAGATCATCTTGCTTCTTTACACACAAGTTCACGCTGAAGCCACGTAATTTGGGCTAGAGCTATTAATGGTAAGACAATTGAGAAAAAGAAAAAAAAAACTAAAAAGAAATGGTGAGTAACAAATGGCAGAAAAAGCACATACCTAAGCCATAGAACAAACTACAATCACAGCCACTAGGCTCTGAAATCACCACCAAAACCTCACCTGCCCATCTATTTCGGAATTATCACAAACACTAATCACTCAAGAATGTGTGTCCCTTGAATCTCACTTTGATCTGTTTCCTATTTTTATATCCTCACAAGTAAGAAAGTAACATCACAGAAGGGCATCACTGGTTTTATTTTTCAAGTGCAGGTGTAAATGACATTGGTAAGAGAAAGGAGGCATCAGGAAGCTCTGAGGCTTTCCTTACCATCACCTCCAGTTCCCGAACCACATTTCTGCAATCAAACCCAAGTCCCAGCCTCCTGTAGCAACTCTCTGGCCACCAACAACCTTTTGAGCCTCGAGAAACTCACAGTTCTCGGCCATGGCAATGGCGGTACAGTGTATAAAGTCCATCACAAGAAGAACCAAACCTTCTATGCTTTGAAAGTCCTCAGGTTCAACCAGAATGCTCTTGAAATATCTCGGCAGGCTAAACGTGAGGCGGAGATTCTCAGAAGAGTGGATTCCCCATATATTGTGAGGTGCCATGCAGTTTTTGACAATAATTGCAGTGAATCTCATGTAAATGGTGGTGGCGGCGGCATTAGCTTTGTTATGGAATACATGGAAAGGGGTTCATTACATGACGTGTTGAGAGAACACAAAGCACTACCAGAGGAAGTGATATCTGTGTTGACAAAGAGAGTTTTGGAAGGACTCAAGTATTTGCATGGCATGAACATAGTGCACAGAGATATCAAACCTTCAAACTTGCTTGTGAATGACAAAGGGGAGGTGAAGATCGCAGATTTTGGAGTCAGTCATGTGGTAGAAGGAAGGTTTGAGGCATCAGATTGTAATGCAGGCACGTGTGCTTATATGAGCCCAGAAAGAGTTGATCCGGAGAGATGGGGTGGTGAAAATATGGATGGGTTTGCTGGGGATGTGTGGTCAGTAGGAGTTTTGATGTTAGAATGTCTTCTGGGTCATTTCCCTTTTACTGATGCAGGGCAGAAACCAGACTGGGTCACATTGATGTGTGTGATTTGTTCTGGTGAGAAGCTTGAAATGCCAGAGAAGGCATCACCAGAGTGCAAAAGCTTTGTGCAGAGATGTTTAGAGAAGGATTGGAGGAAAAGAGCAACAGTCGGTGAGCTTCTTGATCACCCATTTGTGAGTACCAAGTCTTGCCCTTCTAGCAAAGGATTGCTCAATTATCTTCTGCATTCTTGAAGTATACCGCTGGACTCTTCTTTTCCATTTTCAAATAATCTTGAATCATATTTTGGGTTGGGTTTAGGAAGAAAGACAAAATCTTTTTGTTTGAAATTAGAAATTAGGAAGTTCATAATCGTTTATTTCCCACCTCGTACATGAAATAAACGGAATCCTTCGAGTAAATTTAACGTTCTATGATAAGAACCGAGAGTACTCATAATTGTGAAAATTAGAGCGATATGCCACAAAAGTTCCGCTATATGCCACAAAATTTGAGCATTTCGATAATCTCCCTCCCTCTAATAAGTTTCCCAGATCGTATTGGGGTTAACCAGAAATTGTTGAGGATGAAGCTGAAATATATTTTGGGATCCCTTCTTCATTCACCGTAGATGTTCTTCCATATCTTGTCACTCGTCAGTTTGAAGAATTGATTTTGTACTGATAAATAATCATGATGCGGATTTGGATTGGGTGAATCCACCTTAGTCATCTATTTACCGTTTACAGTTAATCTCAACTGTTCGCTTCTTTGTTTTGTTACACATCCAAAAAGTTCGCTGTGATATAATGGAATTTTTATTTAACAATGTTAATGTACAATTAGAACTCAACCAAAATACTTGCTCTCACTGCCTCATAACATGTGTTTTACCCCCGCAATTTATGCATATTTAACACGCCCTAAACTAACCTGGTTTTGCTTAAAGGCGCATTTAAAACTCCATCCAAGAGTGGAAGGATTTTAATATGATAGGACCAAGATCATCTCATTAGCAAACATAAACACCCATCCATTGGCGTTAAACAAACATGTCACCACAAACATAGTACAGGGTCAGCTTCGAGTAACATCTAGGTAACACCGTAAAACCCAAAAATATATGCTTTACCATATTTTAACCATAAATAACTACATATATGGCGTCCAATTCTCATGAACGCAAGGGAATTATGCAGCTGGATGTAACTGAGTCTCACATAAAATAGTTGGACTCTTTGACAAATAAAAACCACCGCACATCATAATAATCTGGATCCTTGAGGTCAGAGAATTCTTATTGTTCTGGTTGAGTCAATTCCAATTCTAAGATGCCTGAGGGCTTGCGAAGAAAACCCCCTGTAACGGAATATTAAGAGGAAATGCATTAATCTATGGATGTCCAAGCCCATGAAAGGAACAGGTATGCTTGTGTACCATCCAGAGCCATGCAAAGGGGGCAAAAAATGCTGTACAATAACAAATCAAGCTGAAAAAGTGCTATATCAGTTAAACTTAGATCATTATACCTATGCCAAAGAATTAAGCAAATAGGGAAAAAAGGGCAAATGTTACATGGGATTAGTTAGAATTAGTATCAGCTAGTTCTTTAAGGAAGTCTTAGTATCAAGTGCATGGATATGATAGCTTTGAGCAAAGGTTCCCTTTTCTCTGTATCAGTAAGGAATAAATTTTATGATTTGTCAGATAAGTGTAAATCAAACATGTATGTTTTTGATAGACAGAACTTTGGACTATCTAACTTCAACAATGCATTTAAGACCAAACCCAACATGTTACGTAAAATCCACCATTATTGATGTTTACCACACTTTCAACCCTATCAGGAAAAATCATTGCATTTAAGCTAGTTTTAATGGCATGACATAATCAAAATGGGTTGGCACAATCAATATTTAACATAAACTGTTAGAATTAGAGTCACACATTTTAATAGAGAAATCCAGCAAAGTATTGTTCAGCGATGATAAACTAACCTCCTCCCCTTGAAACAAGGTGGATCCGAGAACGAGGACCTTCAAACTTCCAGTTATCCTCATCCAAGGATTTCACCTCCTTGTCAAGCGCAGCCATGAGATCTTTTTTTAGAACTGCAAGATCACAAAGCAGATTCTTTAAATGCACGCTTCACGGGTTAATTTAGGAAACACAGACAGAATGTTGTTATACTTCAGCTCCAAAACTGAAGAAGACAAATGCAGCACTCCATGCAAAAACCATTAGAGATGGCAAGGAATATGGGTTAAAATAATTATTATAGATAGCTTTTCAGGCTTTGGTATATAAAAGGAAAATCTGCTAAAAAAACAAGATGTCCATTAATTTTCTTGGCCCAAATGTTTATTTATTAAAGGATGTTATTACAATATTACAATTTTTTGAAAGAGTAAAAGGATCCTGCAAGATAAAAACAGATCCCTCAGATGTTAGTCTTAACAAGAACTCAAACTGAGGTTACATGGTAAGATTAAACCCCATTAGCTTAGCAGTGGGAAAACAAGGAATCACAGAATCCACAATGAACAATAGAAGTAGACGCGATTATCCCATCCTTAAATTGGCTGGTTATGGTAACGAAATAACGTTATGACTGAATTTCATCACTTAAACAAATGCTGCTATAAAAGAATTTAGATATAATTCATGAACACTGGCATAGAAAAGCCCAGAAAATAGGATTCTCCTTTGATCAGCTGAAATGACAGGACCTTTTGTCCATAGGATAGAAATTTTGACACTTTTTTACATCGAGAAATCGTGTCATCCCTTCTAAAGACAGAACAATTCAGTACATAAGGTAACCCAGGAAAATAGAACCACAAGAGCAATAATTTGAAGGATATTCATTCTCGATAAATATACCTTGAGATTTCTCGCATGAAATGTAACGTATTTGATTAACAGCGGAGGATATTGGAAGCAAAAATAAACAAATTTTATACAACATTTCCTTGTTTTCTTAATTCTTGCAGAAGCTTTAGGAACAGAAGAATCTTCAGGCGTGAGGGGAACCAGGCTTATTTTTCAGTATTCTTTTTTTCTTTTTGGGGGGGGGGGGGGGGGGGGTAAAAACCACTGAACAAGTATTACATATTCTCACTATCACTCAGCTTATTATTCTCCAAACAAGCAGCGGAATAGGTCATCTCATAACACTCAGCTCAGGCAGAAAATTATGAAGGCAGCTTAAAAGGCTTCGAGAACAAAATCGGCAGAAAGAATGGAGGCGAGATTAAACGCTCGTTTTTAACTTCATCGAATCGGTAATATTCCAATTCTAGATAACCGCACAGTAACGAATTTAGCGAGAAGTTATAAGAACTCTGGATATAAAATGAAGAAACGCACAATACAAGCCATAAATTTTGAAATAATTGTGGAGAGAAGAGAATGTAGAAGTAACCTAACATGGCCTCGTCCTTTCGCTCGTACGTTGACAAAGGATCACACGGGAAATGGAAATCGTCAGCAGAAAGAGTTGAATTACTGCCACCGGCTCCTCCGCCACCGGCAATCGCCGTCGTTGATATTGATGAATGTGCCGGCGATGAACTACTCATTGTATGCGTACTTCCACTCCAGGTAAACGTAATCATGCACCTAGGAGGAAGACCAGCAGCCCGCAGCACCGTTGTTCTACGGCACCGTTTTAGTGGCTAAAACTCACCTCAGCCGTCCAATTTCTTTAAATCCCGACCGTCCATTTAAAAGCCCCCGGACACAGCCTTGAATGCGCATCCCGCACCCGTCTGCCGCCCAATATTTGCCGCCCAATTTCAACCCAAGAGTTGCAATCTGAAGCTCCAGTCAGTACGGTGGCTTCGATCCAGCTGCAACTCAAGTTTTTTATTCTTCGGCCAAATTTCAATTCCACTCTCAGGCTAAAGATACAGGTATCTTGGGTCTTCGTATCTGGGTGTCTTAGGATTTTGTTTATGGAGCTTGGAATTTAGTATATGCACATATATCCTACCAGATTATCGATTTTGTTTGGCTTAACACTCACGTCGTCGGCATTCCAATGGAAACCTTTAAAAGAGAACATAGGAGTGTCCTCCGCATTTTCTAACTCAGTGATGTTGAATTCCATCATCTATATTTCTTGTCTATATGCCACGGTTTATGAGAAAATAGGGGAACTTTGCGAACATTTTCTGTTACATTGCTTGCTCTATCTCTTCCTCATCCGATAGCAATCTGAATTCTTATCGGTTTCTGTTGTAAAACTATCTATTATGCATTTAGGATTCTGGTTGGTCTTTTAGAAGGTAAATAATAATCATCTTCGGTAGACTTCTTTTTTGAGGGGAAAAAACAGAGAATCGGCCGGCCTTTCGCTTTTCACTCGTAAAATGCAGATGAGTTGATGAAAAATTTGCGGCAACGGCTTCGAACTATTTACTCGGGTTTTGATTTATCAATGCTTCAAATATGTTTTGTTGTTTAGGTTCTTTATGGAAGCTTCACGCTATATTTCCTGCATGTCTTTGCTGAGAGGGATTTTCTTAATATGGTTCCCTGTAAGCCGTTTGCTTGATCAAGCACTTTCAATTGAGGTTAGTTCCTCTCGTTGCTGAACAATTCTGCCATTGTTATTCTGGAAGGGAGTGTGCTGCTGGTAGTTGAAGCCGCGATTTTAAATCAGTTGGATACTGACATTGATTGCTGTTAGCTTTTTGTAATCTATATTCGTTTGATGGTTTACTATGTTCTCTTCCCCAGACATAAGAGAAAACAGTAGAAGTTTATGTACTGTAATGCATGGTTTGTGAGACAAGCCAAATTTGCTAGAGTTCCTCTTGTTCTTGCTATTTCTAATGTTGTCTGTTTTTAACTTAACTGGCAATTGGGCATTAATGATGAATTCAGTTTTAATTAAATGCCGACCAGTATGACATTTTGCATTGATCCTGTCTTACTGGGGCTACATGGATATCTTGCTAAGTTTGATTGTGCCCAAACAGTTACTAAACCCATTTCTCTTCTTTTTCTTTTGGTGTAACCAATTGTGTGTTTTCAAATTTAACTTTGATGCTCATGTTTTGCATTTTCAGATAGGGGGCTCTGCACATTCCGACCCTATCAATCGTGACGCTAAGGCTTGTAACTTCAATCAAATTCTGACTCAATCCTACTATGAGAGATATAATTTCTTGGATGATCTCGATTTTGACACTTTCCTGTCTCAAGAAATCCCATGTGGTATCTGTGAAGTGCTTCCAGATAACCATAAATCTATTTTAAAAGTGTCAGATCTAGAGCGAAACCTTGTTGGAGAAGGTTCTCATCGTCATTTATCGACTTCAATCAAATTTCAAACTCAGCCTACGAATTCAGTATCTGAACGAATAAACTATTCATGTCAGCTCATAATTATTGAAAGACTTCCCTCTGGGGTTTTTGCTGATCCATTCGAACTGCAACATCTTGTTCAGCGTCGTGGTAATTGCTCTTTATAAGTACTTTTAAATATAAAAATGCATATTATGAATTTCAGAAACATCTCCTTGATTTCTTGTAATTAATGATGCTCTTTATGGCAGTGTTTCATGATGTAGCTGTCTTTGGAGATACCAATTTAGAATTGCCTTCATTTATGTCCAATCGTTCTGCTGTTGAAATCCACTTAAATGTTGATCCAAACATCTTTTATCAGTCAGCTGACATCAATTTGGAACTTCCGTTGCACGCGCGATATCAAGTGAGTAAATCCCATCCCGTTATGGTTTGAAACCAGCACGTGTACCCTTCTTAGTCTACCCTAATCCATGTGATGACTTATTTTTCTCAATTACCCAATTAGTTGCTGGTTGGATTTTCAGGTTAATTGCAGTACCTTTTAAACCGGGAAAAAAAAAAATCAGAGTTCACTTGTATTGATACGTTATCATTTGTGCCCATTATTTTTTGCAGCCTTTAAATGAAAGTGGCTATTCGACAGTTAAATTCGGTACCCCAGATGTGTTGGTACATTGCGGCACAAGGGAAAATGTGGAGAATCAGAGCTGTTTCTCCAGAGCTACAAGTGAGGATGCTAAAATGAGTGGTGGTGATATTGTCTGGAGAATACCTTGTGGAAGGAAGGCCCATGCTCTCCTTGTTTCTACCTTTACATTTTTGGCAGCCTTATTGTCAACTCTCGTAATTGTTTGTACTGCATTATGTCATTCTAACGTCAAACCCTACAAAGGCAGAAAGCAAGCATAGTGTGTTGAGGTTAAATTCTCACTTTGTTAACTTTTATTATTATTAAATTACTTGCGTTTAACTTCAGGTGACTTGTTACTTTTTTTTTCTTTCTATCGGTTGTTATTATGTTTAAGTTATTATTCTTTTTTTTTTTTTGGAGCTGATATTTAACTTCTTATTCTAAATCAAACGGAATAAGAAATGACCCAAAATATATACTGGAAAATGCATTGAATTTTGTTTTAAAAGTGTTAGACCCAGCGGTCCAGTTTCACCGCTTTTTCTCTTTCGCATGTTTTCTTTTATTGCGCGAGCAAGATGACGTGATATGGAATTATCGGTGCAGTAGAAGATTGCGCAGGGTAATCATGTTGCAATTGGCGACGATTTGACATCTCCGAAAGGGCCTTGTAAAATTTGAAAGGCTTTGGTCTGGTTGAAGAAAATGAAAGGGGCATTATCGTTATCTTAATTTTCAAGGACTACTTGCAATGAGACGGACTAATAAAAAGTTTAGTCAAGAAGTAGGAGCCTCGCTGATACATTGAGCTGTTTATAGATCATAAGTTCTCAGTTCCAGTCCTGACCATTATGAAAAGTTTTCTGTGATATTTTTATCACAAAAAAATGGTTAATTACACATTTTCATCGTCTCCAAGTACCAAGTTAGACCAGCCCCAAGCAAACGTGAAGCTTTCAGGAGGCGGACGTCATTTAAAGAAAGTGAGTGCGTGCGTGCGCGCGTGCGCGTGTTGGGGTAACGTATCGCCAAGAGACCTGTTGCATTTACAGGGAAATGTTATTTTGTGATGACTAAATAAAAAGAGAGCCACTGCACGAGGAGGGTGACACACCATTATAACCCAAACATCTATATATAGAGAAGAAAACACATAGCCCATAGAGAATCCCATATATGTGCGAGATATATATATATGTATATGTATGTATGTATATATTTACGTTAAGGGTTAATACCACATCAGATGTGTTAAAACTCAAGTCAATCATGAAATCTAGTAAAACATTACTCTGCGAAATCAGTGAAGGCCATCTGATTTTCAGAAGACACGGGTCTGCTTCATAATTTGAATTGCGACATTCTTTGACTAGGCAGCAAGAACTATGATCACAATGAGAAGCACGACCCCGAATATCACCAAAAGCAAGCAAGTCTAGAAAAAAGGATAAACAAGGATATCAAAGATCAACGATCCTAAATACCCAAAGCTTTGAAAAAGGAAATGCGATCATTCTGTTAAAGATAATATAGTTGAAGTATTACCTCACAGAAGGCACATATAAATGGAATGTTCCGTGTGTAAAATTATGACATGGAAGCAGGTGGAGACATTTAAAATTAAATAGATAAATGAAACTTACCAGAGACGAATTTGATCTTTGGGTTTTTGCAGCTTTCACAAGTTGAGACTTTGCTTCTGAAGTTGCTGCATGGGAGGCTTCAATATTGGATCCAATGTCATCTACAAAATGGAAATCCTTGACATCAAATGACAGCAGCCAGCCCAGACAACAAAATACTTGAGCTGATACGGATACGAGGGCAACACGAACTATAAAAGAGGGTCCCATTGTAGTTACCAATCATGCCTCCTTGCTCATGAACAAGCACAGCAAGATCTTTGAAAATCTCATTTACTTCACCAATTTGCTGTTGGATTTCTTGAATGCCATGGTCACGTTCCTCAATTATAGCTTCGTTGAAGCCAATCTCATTATCCAATAATAACAACTCTTGCCTGCAACAAGAAGAATGCAAAGGCAAATCCCAGCATCAGTCTTGAGGCCAACCCCTCCAAACAACAACAATGGGGGAAAACAGATAAAGATACTTTGGATTATCATTTTTCCATCCTCATAATGAAATCTTTAAAAAAAAAAAAAAGTGTAATAATATTGAAAATAGGTAACACTAATATTTGATCCAAGTCGCATTACACAATACAGCAGAGGCCTCTACAATAGGCAATAGGCAATGCAACGATGAGATCAAAATGAATGTCTAAGCCGTTAATATGTGAGAAATTACCTTCTGGATTCCACAAGGAGAGCACGCTGTTCTGAAGTCTTATCAGTACTAACATCCGCCTCACTGGCTGCATAACTGCAAACCAAAAAGCAATGGCCAGTATCATGAGCAATATGTGCATATAAGTAAAATATTTCATGAGAAATACCAGTGCACTAACAATCACTAGATGAGAAAGTATTGACCCAAAAACAAGTGCAGACAAAGTAAACACTGAAAAGTAGCCTTTTTAAGGAAAATTATTGTTGCATACAGATCAGTTCACTTAATAAAATTGCATGCACATGCAAATTGCAAAAGAAGAAAAATACAAGAAAACGAAGAGGGCATAGTCTTTCCATTTTAACTGTTACAACTTCAATCACTGTTAATCAGTCACCTGGAAGGAAGACTTGCTTGTGAAACAAAAGGAGTGTAGGCTGTTTCCCTTGAGGCCGCAAGTTGCTGCGCCTTCTGAAATTCTTTTAAAACTGCCTGAAAATCTTTTGCAAGTTTAGCGTCTGCTATCTTCTTACTTGGCTGCAACAATGAGAAAGACATAGAAGGCCATCAACTACAAAGTAGCAAGAATTAGTTATTATAAATAGTTTCCAGGCACATTCCAAAATTTCATCATAACAAGGATATGATCCTCATTATAACTATTTACAGACCATCAAACAGTTCCCTTGGATATGCATACAGGATACAGGATAAAGATTCAAACTTACAGTGACTTCGACATGGTGATCTATTTCACTAGCCTGCTTGAGTTTGGCAGATGTACCCTTCACCAATTGCCCAATATGTAGTCTTGTCTTGTGCCTGCAGGTTACAAACAGTCAACAAGTGAAAAAATGGATATTAAGCTTCTCTCATAAATCTAAAACCAAAGCCTAGGTTATGAATTGACTATGAAAAGCTGTATTCAACTTAATAATGTGCAAACAGCTTATGTTTATGAAAGAAAGGGCCATAAGTCATTAGAGTTAGAAGAGTGTTTTTTTTTTTTTTGGGGAGGGGGGGGGGAGTGAAGTAATAAACATGCATAGAGCATAAACCGCTTTAAAAAGAAGTATAAACTGCAATACTATGGTGCACAGAATCTCTCTCCTTCAATTGTTTTATTGTCGATGGGTCCAATTAATTACAGCCTCCCCAGGTCTCAACCACTAATGAAAATGATAAATACACAATGTTAGCGAGAAATCTATTAGCATCCTCACGTTCATAACTACCTCCTCCCGAAATTTTAAAAATGAATTTTCAAGGAATTCCTTAACTGACAAGTTATTTATAACTCAGACTGCTCTTAGAAGTGTAAGTTAACTCATCCATTGTTCTCAGTAGAAGGAAGTAACACAAAATGCAATCAGTGCAAACTAAAATTGCCACTCGTTCAACCAAACTATCGCAAATAAACAATTAAGTGGTACAATGAATAACGCAAATGCCCAAAAAAATCATAATATGAGGAATCATAAGCTGCACACGCACAATTTATCGCGTAGCTCTAGCGTGTCTTTCGGGGTTCCAAGGGTATTGACGAGCCTCTGAAACGTGGACACAGCGGTGTTGATCTGAAAGATACCGGAAGCCACGGCCTGTGTAGGATCTTGGCTGGGATTGCCGAGGTTTCGCCGGGGAGCGAATGGCCGGCCAGCTTCGATATCCTGAAAGCTCATTATATGATTGTTATGACCCTAACTTTCTCGAGAAAACCAAGAATTGAATTTTCTTGAGAAAGAAAAAGGGCTAGCAACGAGAGCAAGGTGACTTAGGGCTATTAACAGCAACAGAGACTCCCAATCGACGGGCCCTGACTCCTGAGAGTGGAGAAAGCGCAACGACGCATTGATGCGGACATGGCAGAGATAAAGGATCGGTTGGGGGCATTGATTTTTTTTTATTTTTTTGGCCGTGAAGGGGACGTTGATGACCATTAACGATCAGTTTTTGGTTAATTGGCAATTAAGTGCCGCTTGTCGTGTAAAATAAAATGATACTCCTCCGGTCCTAATTATAAGACCCAATTGACTTATTTGAGGAGATTAAAAAAGTAAGTTAAGTATTAAGTATATTGGCTAAAACTATCATTATTAGAAGGATTATCTTGGAAAAAAATACATAAATATAAAAGACAAAATGGATTGGGTCTTATAATTAGGACCAAATAAAAAGTCAAATTGGGTCTTATAATAAAGACCGGAGGAGTACCCAATAAAATAATATAAGATGCGCTATTTATTTATGAACCACGCGGAATATTTTAAATTTTACGTAACATATGAAATAAATAATCTATACGGTGTTTAGAAGTGATGAGAAGTACGTTTTAAAATCACTTTTTCATTTGAGTCTAGCGGAAGGGACTAGTTTCTCATAACGTGACGAATTAAAATTTAAATCCTCGCTGTGAGAGGTGCGCACATTTAATACCTAACAATACCTCGAATAAAATTACTTCCAATAAAAGGATACATATGTTTTAGTAAAAAATAAAATCACTTTTTCGTAAATCAAAATAATTTTTTGATATATTTACTTTGTATATTATAAAATCGCCTCTGAATCCAAACATCACCTAATTTAAACACGTCTAATTCATTCATAAGAATCAGCATTCACAATCGGGAATAGACCCCAAAAAAAAAAAAAAAGAGCATTGGCAACCAAAAAATCAAGCAATGAACATCGAAAGTGAAGTTGAATATTGAGGGGCTTCTAGTCTTCTACTTTGGTTGGTACTGCAGGACATCACATGCGCTGTGCCCTCAGCAAGAAATATAGAACTTGTAGTTTTCTCTCAAGTCATGTCATCATGCCCGCTTAAAAAAAAAAACTTCTCTCTTCTCGAATTGCATTTTTTTGAGTGTGCTGCTGGTGGCTATGGAATTGGCCTGATTAAGGGGGTGTTTGGCTTTTTTGCCAAACACCCCCACTTTTTTAGAAACCAAGGTTTTGGGCAAAACCAAGGTTTTGCCCAACAAAACCTTGGTTTCAGATAAGTAGGCAGAGGGACAATTCTACGGAGGGAACAAGCACGTGGGGGGGGACTCATTCAGCACGCTGGGGGGGGGAGTGTACTCATTCAGCTCAAGGAGTACAATTATTTGGCAAAATAAATCATTTTTTTAAAAACATATTTATTTATTTTATTAATATATATACACACTAATTTCTTATTATTTATATTATTTATGCCATATAATAAAAGGGACATAAGTTTAAATGATAATTACATATAATATATATTTCATAATATATGTTTATTTGAAGTACTACCTCCGGTCCTTATTATAAGACCCCGTTTGACTTTTTGTTTGGTCCTAATTATAAGACCCCAATCCATTTTGTCTCTCATATTTATGCATTTTTTTTCCAAAATAATCCTTCTAATAATGATAGTTCTAGCCAATACACTTAATTAGCAAGGATATTTTAGGAATGACAACACTTATTTATTACAAATAACTAACTTAACTTACTTTCTTAATTTCCTTAAATAAGTCAACTAGGTCTTATAATTAGGACCGGAGGTAGTAATAAATTTATTAATAATATATATGTAATTATCATTTAAACTTATGTCCTTTTTAGTAATTTCTACATATCAAAAAGCACTTCTGACAATAATTATCCAAACACTCTCACTTTATCAGAATCACTTTTCCAGAAAATCTATTCTTTCAAAATCTATTCTCTCTAAAATCTATTCTCCAGAAGCTATTCTGCAAATCATGGTTTTGCCTCATCCAAACACCCCTTAAGTCTGGGAGGGTTTTGTGATGCCTGGCGAGCCCAAGCTAATTGCCAAAGCCAACATATATGTTTGGAGATTTGGGAATTGAGAAGGACATATGAGGAGGGCGAGGCGCTGAAATTCGTCAGATGGGCTTCTTCTCCTGATGTGGCAGGGTTTCAAGAGGGGATGATGGCACGTGGATTAGAAGTAGCCTGACATTGTTAGATCATTAGATCTTGCTGCCATTATTTCCCAAAACTGGAGAAGTTTTGTTAATGTGGTGTTCTTTCTTCTTGTTCCCGAGACAAGTTTGGCAACCACCACCCTTGAGCTGGGTCAAATTAAATGTTGATGAAGGTATCTCTAGTTCTACTAATAGGTCCAGCTGTGGGGTGTTTTCAGAGATCATCCAGGTTCTTGGATTGATAGGCTTGGTATTTGCACTGCCTTTGAAGTTGAGCAATGGGCTATTCTCAAGGGATCTGGGATTCAAGAAAGTCACCCTTGAATCCCATGCCTTGAACATGAGCTTCAAACTGGAGATAATTTTCCTGCAGCTAGCCTTCTTTTCTTACAAATTCAGAAGTTAATGACACTGTCATGGGATCTCAAGATTCAACATGTTCCTCAACTTGTAGATGCTCTTGCTAGTGAAGGTTTTTTCAACTCTTCACTTTTTTAATCTGGCCTGCCTCACTTGCAAACCTTGACTTTTGATGAGCATTTGGAATTGAAATTCCCCGTGTTAGTTTCTTGATTTTGGTCTTTAGCTCTCTTTAAATTTAGTATTAAAAAAAGTAGTCCAACACTAAATGCAGACATTTTTTTAAAGGGTTTTAAACATTGATTCAACATATTATAAAAAAATAATATCTTCTACTAAACCCAATCTTATGGTGAAAACTACTTATTTGGAAAGATTCTCTTGATAGCAAAAGCAGTATATTGTATGAAAATAAGGTGGCTGCTGCTTGCCTGCAAATGGTGCTGGAGAGCTGATGGTTGATTTTGGGCCTTTACTTCTCTATCCCCCCCCCCCCCAAACCAAAAAAAAAAAAAAAAGGTTGGATCTTCCTTGTCTACTCCCACGAAGCTTCTCATCAATCATAAATTCGTTAAAACGCCAACAGGCTTCATCATATCGTGATCGTGATATCCACTCCCAACTCCAAAAACGTGTGTTCATGCGTCGCAGAGCCATTGATGTAATGCCTTTTGGGTCCATCAACATATGCAAATGATATTTTAGTGGCGTCTCCCCCCCCCCCCCCCTTTTTTTCTCCTTTATCAGTTACACATGCAATCCAGAGCTTGCCTGATACAATTACTTCAATATCACATTGACTTTTTAAAATGCCACTCATGTCCCTTCCCAATCCTATTACGAAACAGTATCTTGCCAAACAAGTTTTCTATATCACTTTTACTTAGTCTCATTGCTTACCTTCATCTAAATCTATATCTAATACGTAGTACATAAAAATATTCTTAAAAGCTCAAAAATGTCGAAAGGTCCATGGAATTCAGATCAACTCAATAGACGACGCTTCAGCGTTTAAGATTCATGGGAGTTTATTTCTTAGCAACGAAGCGGTCTTATCAATCAATTAATTAAATGAATAAACTAAATTGCGAAATTGTTAATGCCAATTCAACACAACACTAATATTTTTTCATATACTATGTCCAATTCTTATTACTACCTTCGATCTTAATTATAAGATCTTATTTGTGAACTGCAAATGAGATTTTATAATTATGATCAAACGTAGTATAAGAATTAATTAACTAATTTAAGTAGATTAAGATAATTAGTTAAGTTAGTTATTTATAATAAATAGGTGTTGTCTTCCTTAACATACCAATACTAATCAAGTATCATTTAATGAAACATTTAATATATGCAACTATTATAAGAACTATCTTTAAAAAATAAATAAATAGGATAAACAAAATGAATTATAATCTTATATTTAGAATTAAATTAAAAGTCAAACTAATTTTTATAATAGTATTAAGTACCCGAAATAATATTATTTATCACTTCCAGTATGAGAACTAGACTGATATATCAATGATAATAATTCATTATTTTGATAAATCTTAACGCGTCGGTAGTACAATTATATCGTATTATAATTACAACAGGCCGTCCCCATGTCGGAAAACTCGTTGGGATTGAATTTCACGGTGCTCCCACGTGCGAATCTGACCCTGGCACGTGTTCCAAACTCTGCCCGTCTAAGAGAAATCTAAAGCGCTCCCTCCTCTTGATGCCATTTTCGTTTTCTTCTTCTTCTCCTTTGCTGACCTCGCTTCTCCCTAGACTCTCTGCTACAGACATAGTTCCGACTTGCCAGCTAATATCTGCGGCTCTTCTTGCTCGCCCGAGATCTTTCATTGCAATCCTCTCAAGATGCCGGTGAGTACTTGTCGTCATTGTACGTACTGTTGGTATGTTTCGCGTGTTCGAAGATCTTGTTATTCGGCATATGTCACATTTTTACAAGTTTGATCTTTTTGTGGATTGGAAAGGTTTTGAGCTTGTTGGAATGTCAGCTGTATGAAATGTCGGCCTACAATGTCTGTTCTTATGATTTGGAAACTGTTCTGATTTTGACTTGGAAATAATGATCAGCATACCTTCAATTTCCGCGAAGCCTGTCTATGAAATGTCCACTTTCTTCCATCAGTGGTTCACATTTCTCAGAATTGCAAAAAGGATCTCTTTCGGGAAACTATGACACGTTATTATCTTTCTTAACGTCATTTACTTGCTTAAATCTTTGAAATGCTTCCCAGGTTTATTTCATTTCGGTTATAATTCACTTAATCTGTAAACTGTATCATTGTTGGTATTTGATCCTGATCTCAACCCTAAAACGAAGCTGATTTCTTGTCTCCTCACACCATTGCAGACTGATTTGACAAAGCTAAACATTATCTACCCTACCAATAATTTTAATCGTCCTCTTTCACACTGTAGATATTGTCAAAGGAAAAGAATTGTAGGATAGAAGAATGAATTCCCTTGACATTTGGTTCAGAGTAAAAGCCCAGTACATATAGTCCTTAGCATGTAACAGATGGAGCTGCCATCTAAGGGCCTAGCCTAAGTTCTGTTTTCTGACT